ATTTCAATTGATTATGGTAAAACAATGTTCATTCATTTTACCTATTGCAGGGGTCGCAGCGGCCTATGTTGCAAAATCAGGAAAATAGGCAGGACACAAGTCAAAAAAAAATCAGGAATTTAAATAAAAGTCAGGACATTGTAAAACGTACGCTGATATTACTGTTCAGTATCAAATTTACATCAAAGTGGAAAAAGAGTAACGATTGAGAGTTAATACTACAAAATACATTGCTTTAATAAATGTCAAAACTGATCCAGAAAAAATAAAATGTGCAACAATATAATCTTTCCGTCAGATGCGCACTTCTAATTTTGTTTTTTTCTTTTCGTTCTATCTTCTCTTGTTGTTTATTCTAGTCTCTATTCTCTTTTCATTCTCTCCTCGCTTGTTATTTATTCTAGTTTGTATTTTCTCTTCATATGTAAAATCATCACCATGTAAATATTTGTTTATGTAAATGTAACTCTTCAATTAAGCATTTTCAAATGCCGAGAAAAACAGATTTTTGTTCAAAATGGCTGCTTAAGTTTGATAATACTGGTAGAGTATGCTCTCGCTGGCTTGCCAAAGGTAAAACATCAAGTTCATTCCGGTGTATTGTGTGTAATACAGATGATCTCAGTTGTGCTAATGGAGGATGGCGTGATGTAAAGAAGCATTTCGATCGACCAAAACACATTCAATGTATGAAGGATGTTTTTGGTTCTATTCCACTTGTTGCATCCTCACATCCATCATCGTCTTTCTCAAGTAACACGAATGATGGCAGTGTGTGTACAACAACGTCATCAACAAGTGTTAATGAACCAAGAATTCCTTTCGTTAGTATTCAAAATGATCAAAGATCATTAACACATGAAGATAGTAAGTGTTCGTAATTATTATTTTTGGTGGAGTTATTTCTGTTTTATCAGTTAGTATGTAAAGAGATGAAAAACTATCAAAATATGAAAGAAAACTGAAATACATATTTTAAATACATTTATCGGTCATGAAGAGCAAGAATAGAGAAAAGAAATACCGAGTTAGACTCGATTATACCATAGACGCAATTTAGAATAGAAAGAGAATGAAAAATGCACCGGTCAATACAGCCGTCAACGCATGTTATTGACTACTGCCTGGAATTTTCTTTTCTTTCTATTGAAATCTAAGGTTATCTTACAAGTTCATTTTTTTAAATTATTTTTTGCTGGCTGCGTGTACTGACTAAAATATAAATTATTGTATATAAATTCGGTAGAATTTTCATTTGATGACAACTATGTTTCTAATTTTATGTTTTAGAAGTCACGCGTGCTGAATGTATATGGGCGATGGCTACATCTCAACTTGGCTTTTCATACAATTCATCACAATTTCTACCAGAAGTATTTCGATTTATGTTTCCTGATAGTCAAATCGCAACTGATTATTCTTTACGTTCACGAAAAATATCTTATGTTATTTCACATGGAACAGGTTACTATTTTACTAATGAATTAATTAAAGATGTACGTAAAGCTCATGGTTTTACATTAATTTTTGATGAAACAACTATTGCTGGTGTTCGTAAACAATTGGATATTTTTTTTCGATATTGGTCAGAGACGAAAAATTGTATATGTGTTCGATTTTATAAAAGTATTATGCTTGGTCATGCTACTGCGGATATCGTTTCTCGATCGATTATTGATTCACTAAAATCGGATGGAGTTGATATTACAAAAATGTTGATGCTCGGTATGTCATACTTTTCACCTTTTGCCCGTATCATATGTTTTATTCGCGCAGGGAGAGATAATCCAAATGTAAATAAAGCAATTGAAGATATTCTTAATAAAGAAGTAATTGCTGAACGAAAAAAAAAGTAATGAACCTTGACTTTCTTTGATTTCTCGTGATTTTTTGAATATTGTTCATCAGATCATCATCTATGCCGGTGCTAGGTCTTATTTCAATTGGCTCATGTCCTTTACATGTTATTCATGGTTCTTTTCGGAAAGGATTTAAATCAATGGTATGGTTTATTGATGAATCAATTAATGATATTTGGTTTTGGTTTTCTCGATCTTCTGCTCGTCGGGCAGATTTTATATCAGCTACGAACAGTATTAATGAAACTTATTCTCGTTTTCTTGCTCGTTTTGTTGTTACTCGGTGGATTGAAGTAGGTCCCGTGATCGAACGTATCATTGATCAATGGAATATTATTAAAGAATATTTTCTTACATATCTTCCAACAATCGATAAAAAAATTGAATCAAATGATAAATATGTCCGAATTAAAAATTTTATTACTGATAAATCGACTCTTGCTAAATTTCATTTTATTCTTTTTCTCTATCAAACAATATTTAAAAGAGAACTTGTCTGGTTGCAGCAAGAACAACCATTGGTTCATTTATTATATGGTGAATGTTGCAACTTGTTACTCAATATTATGTTGTCATTTGTCAAAGAAGAACTTCTAAAAGATAAAGAAGGTAGTGATTTGTTGTCTGTTCCTTTCGAGCTTCAAAATAGTCAAAAAAATAATGTAAATATCGACATTGGTGAAACTACTCGAACATATATTAAAGATTTATCTGTTAGTGAAAAAACAAATTTTTTTCAAGATATTCGTCAAGTATACTGTACTATGACAGTAAGTAATGATTTCAAACTAATAAGATGATAGTATTATAATATTTCAGAAGGAACTAACTAAATCATTACCACTTAAGAATGATTTTTTACGACATCTCCAATGTCTTCAACCTTTAGCTCGAAAAGAAGAATCTTCTCGAACAAGTATCATGTACCTGTCACGACATGTTCCACATTTATTAACTAATGAAGAGGTGGATCGAGTTGGTGCTGAATGGCGTGTTTATCAGATGGCTGATATACCAGAAGAATGGTTTAGAAAAATTACAGTTTCTTCGGACAATATTATTGAATATTTACCTATTGATAAATATTGGTATCAAATATTTTCTACTACTACATCGATTGGTACACCACAATATGTAGTATTAACCAAGCTCGTAAAATGCTTGTTATCTTTATCTCATGGAAACAGTGATGTTGAAAGAGGTTTCTCCGAAAACAATCATCTTGTATCAGATGATCGTTCATCATTAAATGAAGTATCTATTAATGGTTTACGAGCTACTAAAGCTGGCGTTAAAGTTTTTGGTGGTGGTAAAGTTCATATAGTGAGTATAGTCCTGATTTATTCGAGATGTTGTGATTTCTATGTTTAGGTTCCAACAACATCTACTTTGCTTTCAAACGTGAAAGAAGCTTATTCACGTTATACAAAAGACAATGAACAGCAACAGAAATTAATTAAAAGTACAGATGTTGTTAATGGAAAACGAGGTCCTGATGCTGAACATGAACTATTAGAAGAAAAAGAAACTCAGTTGATAAATGAACAAAAGAATTTACAAGAAGAATTGACTGAAGCGACTAATATGTTGCAGGAAGGGACCACAAGACTTGCTGAAGCTATGAAGAATAAAACATTTGATGATATAGGTACAGCCGAAGTACTGGTGACAGCTGCTAATGGTAAATTAGCTGCTTTGAAAACTCAATTAATTGAAAATAATGAAAATTTGAACCGATTAAGAAAAAAACACAAAAAATGAATGATTGAAATAAATATATTTTGAACATTATCTTTCGTTTTTGTGAAAATACTCTAAAAATATTTTGTATAAATCTTAAAGATAGACGGAGTAAAGTAACAGGAAAGATTTTATTATGCAAACTTACTCCTATAGGAATAAATCATAAAATATCAGGACAAAATCAGGATTTTTAGTCAAAAACAGGAAAATCAGGACATTTTTAAAAAATCAGGAAAAAATCAGGAAAGTACACACGCTGCGAGGCCTG